AACACCAACCAACTATTGCCTCCGTCTATTATGAGTATAATATCGTCGGCGTAAGCTTGTATCTTGGCATTTTCTCCAAAGTTTTAGCGCAGAGTCTGCAATTATGTTCCACAGGATAGGGCAGATATTAGACCCCCGTGGGGCTCCTTTGTGGTAAATGATCGTAATATTTAGGACGTCTCTTTTGTAGGTCACTTGACGTTCTGTGAGGTAGCTTGTGATCAGTTGGCAAAGATTCTTTGGACATCGCAAGTCTTTCAGTTTTGTTTTGAGCCCTGCCACCATAGTTTATTGAATGCTGACGCTAAATCAAGCGATATTATACACGTATGCAGGTTATTTTGTCTGTTATTTAAGATGATGTCTTGAACACGGTTGAGGGCGTCGGTGGTGCTCCGCCCTTTAGTAAACCCGAATTGGGCGGGGTTTAGTAGTTTGTTTTTGACCAGGTAATATGCTATGCTATGTCATATCATGTTGCCATGCTATGTCATGTTATGTCTACGCTACGCTATGATATATCATCATGCAATGTCCACCTGTCGCATAAGTCATGCCACACTGCGAATTGTATGTTGTAAATATGTAACCTCAATATGTTATCTCGCTATGTCTTATCTATGCTTAACTATGTCCACCCGTCCTGCAAGTTACATTACGTTGTGTATTTAATGCAAATATGTTATGTCGCTATGCAATGACTATATTCTATACTATGTCACGTCGAATGCTATGCCATGTCATGTTTATGCTGACATGGCATAGCATTCGACATGTTATGTCGCCATGCAATGCCCTCCTTCGTGTAGGCAATGCAACGCTAGGTATTTTATGTTATAAACATGTTATGCTCTAGATGGAGCGGGTCCCGGACTATACCCGATTAGTCTTTGAAAGCCGTCCGGTTATCCGGCCCTACTGTCATTTGTCCCCTGTCTCATGTTCGCCTTTCCCTTGGTGATTTAAGTATTAAATTTGTTTTCGTGGACAACAACGCACAATATTCCCTGTCCAAGATTGTCTAAGCAGCTACAATATTCAAAACCTTATATGGCCAGCACGTTCTTCAAATCTAAACCCATTGAAAATATTTGGGATGCTATGGAGAAGCTACTTGCTGGTCGAAAACATGTTCCAACGAACAAGAACAGCCTCTTCCGTGCGCTGGTAGGTGGTGGACATATTCCATACTAACTCCTTTCTGATAGATACCTGTTGTCGTTCATATAAATTTTCCCATTTCTCCGTACGTAACATCAATAAAACATATTTTTTCTTTGAGATATTTCAAAACCTATGGAGGTCGAACGGTGTGGCAATAATATTTCATTATGCTTACCCTTCACCTCTGCTTAATGTTGTGTTACACTGCAATTTGAGATACGTCCTTAGCAAATGTTCCAGTAGTGTGTAATAAGGCAAAGGTTTGACTACAAATACATATGTAAACCTGAAATACTAAAAATCTTAAAGTATTATATATCAAAAGAGAAAATTTTAACGTTAAAGTTAACAAGAATATACATGAATGTATACAATGGCTTGACACAGCTGAAGGTGTAGTTACATTGTAGCATACTAGTGATGCAAATCATAACAATGTAGCTGTCAATATTAAATATATAAAATAATTGAGTTCTGCGAATAAGAAACTACAAAACTACATAACTGTAATCAAATTAAATACCTTGCTATTAGAACTACAAACATCGCTGAGGAACATAATAATATTTTTCATATTATATTACATCATTTTTTATTCATCGTATGTATTTTAAAGCTTTAAAATATAAGCATATTTTGATTTTTGTGCTGGTAAAATTTTCTTTTCCTAATGTAGTTCCTTGTCGATAAACGAACAGAAACGTCAGTCAATATATTTTCTCTGTTCTTACGAAATGGATTACAACTCTTTTATGCTAGAATTTTATATTGCATTATCTTATTAAGATTTTATTATTTATTTATTGGTTTATTCTTTCAAACATGTAATACTTTTTATTCTTTATTGCCAAAATATTCTTAAAAATATTGAGTTTTCCGCTTTAGAAAAGTGTCAGATTTAGTCACTTAGAGAGACTAGAGCTTCTGTATAAAAGTGCACATTATTTGTCAGATCTTAAGATTTGCTTAGAGATGAATATTATTATTTCCCCTTTGTTTTAGCTTAAAATTTGCAGTTTGTTAGTTGATGGCTAGGTTTCGCAAAAATTCCATTTTGATTACGAAAAATGTTTTTTTAAATCAGTCCAATTTTATGTTATTTGAAGATTTTTTATCAACATGCGATAAAATACTAAGCTTGTTTTTTGTTTATTACTTTTAATTAGAGAATTAGAATTTACTTTTAAAATATCTCAGTTTAGAATGAAAACCGTAAACTTTCAGAAAACTTCAAGCATCTTCGGGTAATCCTATATACAGGAAAACATTAATTACAGCGAAGAATTAATTAACTCCCTATTTCTAGAAGCATCTCTCAGCAACTGCATAATTTTCAAGTGCTGTAGTTTGATACTTGTTTAGGCGAGAAATTAAGAGATCTGCGGATTAGAAATTTGAGTGATTTCATGTAAGGGCTTATATAATAGCAATAATTATATCGAAAATTAAAATAAGTATGTTGTTATTCTTTGAGAAGGCTTCATTAACTGCTTGTCATTGTTATGGTTCGTTTAGAATTCAAGTTTTATTGTTTAAGCTTCGCACATGCTACAGATATCGTCCCATGCTAACGAGTTATACAACTTTCAAGTAATCCTGTTCAGTCCTACTGCATATATTGTGAGATGCAAAAGTTCTTGCGTTTTTCATTGAAAGAACTTCGTTAGGTTGTAATACAGCACATTAAACTGTATTTAAGTCTACCATAAATTTTTCTTAGCTAGAATTTAATTATTTTCAACTTCACCATAAAGTTTACCTACGTTCTCCGCCCTATGACTATCTACTTAACACTTCGCCATACCTATAACTTCAAAAATTTATATAATGGCAGAAAGAAGCGATATTCGATGTTTTTCTGACGCAAGAAGTCTTAGATTAGATTCCAATTAAAGACCATGTTTATTACTAGCCTTTATGGTTTCGTTTTATTTTCTTCTATCTCTTATCACTTAAGGTTCATGAGGAGACATATCTTTGCACGAGCACCTCTAGGCGACTGCGGGGCCTGCGCCAGTCCATCTACACTGGCAAACATATATTCGGAGCATCAGTTATGTCTACGGCTCAGTGGGAGTCGTTATCATTGCGAGTGGCTGGATATATTATTGTGGGAGATATATTTGTCGGCAGCCAATGAAATTGCGTATGGAAATCACGTGCCCGAAAAGCAATGGTGGCTGAATCTGTGTTTAACTCGTTGAATAATATATGCCACGAATTGTTTGAAGGATGCGATATTTATTTCCGATCTTCAATTAGTATTGATCTGGTCATAAAAGTACCGAGCCGAGGGCTCTACTCTTATATGCGCCCTAAGATCACCCAACGTGGCGATATGTGTTCTGCGCTGGTTTTCGGCCCGATTGCGTGTTGTATTTCAACCCTTTTCACGTTGGAAACTCTTTTGCTGGAGTGGTTTGATTGCTCGTTGGTTCTTGTCGTGTGCGTTTTGAAATGGCCTATGTTGCAATGAGAGACGTGGTTGCAAGAGAGTCTGGGAGATTATTTTTAGTGGTTGTGCATGATATAAGTAAGGAAACGCTGATGCAGTGTATTAAAGAGTGGATTGAGCTTTGTACAACTACTTTTTCGGACGGCTGGAAATTTTACAAGGATTTAGGAAAAGAAGGTTTTGAACATTTATTTGTGAACCACAGTATGAATTTTGTGGGTAGCGAGTCTGGCTGTCATATAAATACCATAGAGAGTACGTGGCGGCATGTTAAAGCTACGTTCTGCTGTCCGAAGAAGCATCGATTACGGTAAGTGCATTTTATTTTATTGTTTTTATTTTGTAGAATGTTATGTTCATTGTTTTTTACTATGAATTTTTGTTGTTATTGTTGTTTTTTAATTATTTGTAATTTATTTTAGTTATTTTAGTTTATTTTGCTGATTTGTGCGTAATGCCTAGATTGTGCAATTCGTAGATTTTTTTAAAGTTTAAACAGAATGCTGTGTACATAGTATTCTTTGAAATTTATTGTTGTTATGTTAATTTATTAAAGCTTGGTGTGCGTAGTTCGTAGGTAGATGTTTTCTTTAAGTTAAAAACATATCACTGTGTACATGGATTCTTGTCAAATATTCTTAGTTAGAAACTTTACGTTTTTGCTATCTAAATTTTTTATTTATGTTTCGGATTTTTAGCTTAAATTGTGTGTTCAAAATGTGGTTTTTGCATATGCGAAAGTCGCGCTTTTGGAGACATTTTAAGCTTAAATTTCGAAATGTAGATAAAAAATTTAGATAGTAATATGGCACCGTGGAGTTTCTCGCCAAAACTGTTTGGCGAGAAATTTGTTGCCGCATTTGGCGACCTGAAGGCGCATATAAGAGTAGTTCCATACCGAAAAATAGAATACTTTTTCTGATATATTTTTTAACTTTGAAGTTAATTTTGATAATAAATCTAATTTGTATTGTAAGCCATAAAGCCAGACATTTTTTCACCTCATTTGTTAGCATAAATCTGGTAGAATATTTTTCCTGTTTAAGAGGATTATTTTATTCTTAATTTCTGAGAAATTAGACAAACCAGAAAAGCCTTATTTATCGCCTGTTTGCATTAGATTATGATTCCAGTTTTTTGTTGTTAAAGAATTTTTAAATTTCGGCGTAGACCTACTTAGCCCGGTCACTTGAGGCATTTACTGAAGTGATTAACTTCAGTAAATGCCTCAAGTGACTGTGATCTTGCAGATTCTGAGTTTGGATCCAGCTGATTTCTGTTTCTTTGCTCTGTTTATATAAGTTTTTATATTCAGTTATTTAGTATTTCAGTTTTTCTGCAATTCTGTAATTAACAGGGTTCTCTTAATATGAAAAATATTAAAACTTTTGCATGTATTATCGACTGATTTTACGTAATTTGATTTATACATAAAACTTTCTATCAATTATTTACATAATTTACGTTAATTATATAACTAATAAATTTTTAATTAATTTATAAAAAGATAAGACACGTTTTTCCTCTTTCATGTTACATCAATCTACTGCTTGATTATTTATACAGCAATATAAATGCATACCCACAGTATTTTAACCTTATTCCTGAATATTTGATTCGATGAAATACTGAATGCATGCTACATGTGGCCTAGACCTATTTCCGCATAACGTTTTTTTTTTCACTTATTTATTAAATATCCTGTTCTTCGCACTTAAACCATAAAATTCAGTAGTTCAAGAGCAATATCACAAAACAGTTTTAAATTGAGCATATCTTTATAATCTCCGATGCAGAGTCTCGCATGCAGGAGATAAAAATGTTTTTTCTATACAACGTTGCCATTGCTTGCTGCTTCCACATGCCCATATTCGCAGTAGATTCATTCATTCAAAATTCAATGGCTCTATGTACCATTGTTTTATAACAATGCGAGAAATATACATAAATTTATGCAGATTTTTCGTTATTTAACTTCTTCAAATATAATGCAGAACTCTAACATTTAGTGGCAACAGTTTGAAAAGTGAAACGGACATTTAAAGTGAACCAATGCAAAATCGCAAAATGAAAACAATAGTCCTTCAGGGACAAAGCCCCTTTGGACTATAAAACAAGCTGGGCTCTGCTAGTACATTTCATAATTCATGAATAATAAATTCACTCTAATACCTATTTTGAAAGTTTGGATATGCATGAATGTTGAATAGCCATGTAAAATAGATGAAAAAAAAATTTAAGGATATATTCTTTTCACAATAACATTAAAATATCTTAATAACAAAAAACAATCATTCAGTATTAGTTATAAAAAAGAGTCACACTTTAAAAAATATATTAAACATATTTTTCAATTTATGCTTCATATTCAGGAAAAATTTGGACCTGTAGGACTGATTCATGTGGATGCTCATGCAGATGCTAATGATACAATGATGGGATGCAAAATAGCCCATGGTACAACTTTTAGGCGTGCTGTTGAAGAAGGTCTTTTAGATCAGAGAAGAGTTGTTCAAATAGGTCTAAGAGGTACATCATTTACCAGTGGAGTGTGGATCAGGTAACTATACATTGTTTAGAGAATATAAGATCAAGTTTATCAATTTAGAAAAATTAAGACGAAGTACTTCGCTATAATTTATCTTATCAATTAATTGTAAATTAGTACTTGTGAAAACTTTAATAATTTCACCTTCACACTTATATAAAGAAATAAGAAACTTAGTTTAGAGAGAACACATCAACATTTAGTTAAATGTTAAAAAAAATTTAGATCATATAATTTTAATTCACCTTCACACTTATATAAAGAAATAAGAAACTTAGTTTAGAGAGAACATATCAACATTTAGTTAAATGTTAAAAAAAATTTAGATCATATAATTTTAATTTCATTTTTTAATGAAAATTAAATTGTATCATATATAGAGAGTATGTGCGTGTGTAATGATAATAAAATAGAATGCTATATGATACAGTATGTACAGTAATTTTTAGAATGGAAAAAGTATTTGAATACTACAAAAATAAAAAAGTGCATTTTATTTACAATAAATGCTGATAAAGAAATGTAAATATAATAAGAATAATATGATAAAGAAATATATCTGTTTAAAAATTACACATTATAGTCTGTTTAACAATTACACTTAATTATGTAGGGATTTAGGCTTGTTTTAGCAGAAGAATGCTGGCACACTTCCATGGCACCACTAATGGATGATATAAGGAAACAAATGGGAAAAGGTCCTGTCTACGTTAGTCTTGACATTGATGCATTAGATCCTTGCTTTGCTCCTAGAACAGGTATCCTAGTTATAAAATAAGTAAATGATAACATGTCTAAAACATATTTCTATTTTGTCTTAACATTTGCAGAACCAGAGGCTCAATTTTATGGTCTAATAAGTTATCATAACTTTTATTTATTACCTCAAAATAGAAAATTTTATTTTAGCATTCCAAGTATAAATTATCAGAAACTGTCGGTGTAGAGAACATAGAATTTTTTTCCCAATGGCTGCTCTTTTTCATACATATTCTAAATGTCAAAAATGGGAAGAAGATAAAACAGAGTTCTTATGGCTTTTGAAAATTAAGATATGAGGACATGTGCACTTGGTATAGTCACTGATACTATAAGCTTTGAAGATGTATGAAGAAGGTGTAAAATATATTCAGTATTAAAAAATAAGATGCATTAACTTAATATTCATCATTACTGAAGTAATGAAGTAAAGTACAGTAAAGCATATTATAATAGTAAGTTCCTTTGTAAGAGCACTGAGAAATTTTATGAAGATCTTTTGGCCCTCCTAAGTGCTGTTAATATGATCTTTTTCACTCTCAAATGAAGTAGTGTGGAAATGAGAAATCTGACATTTCTCCAAGAAAAGCCACTGTAAAGCATTTAAAACGAGCCAAAGCATCATCACTGTAAACTTGTTTCAGCAAACCATTTTAAGTTGTTACAAAATTTGATACACATTGATGGAGTCATCCTTATTTTTGAACATCATCTCAAATGACACATATTATAAGTGTCAATGCTTCTAATTATTCTCTTCTCTCATAGGAACATTGCACACCTTTGAAATTAACTTGTGACAAATAGGAAACTTCATTTCATATGAAAATCCATAATTTATTTATAAATGATGCAATTCAGTCATCATTAGTCACATTAGTCCAGAAAATTATGAGAAACTCCATATTGATATCTTAAAATATGGCCAAATTCATTTTTATACTTTTTACGTACAGAAAAATGTTTTGCATACCATGTAGTAGTAATAAAAGTTCACTGAACTCTTACAAAGGATTACTGTCTTCTGTAGAGGTAGTCACCTTAAAACGGTATATTCAGTACCACTGTTTATTTGTGCACTGTCAGAAATACTGATTGTTTTTAGAGGAGATCATCTTAGACAAGCAAATGGGAAAAGGGTGCGCTATAGTACCAGATAAATAAACGTACTGAATCACATTCCGTTAATATACTTCTTTCCCCACTTCCACAAAAAAAAAAAAAAAAAAAAAAAAAAAAACTTTTCTGTTTACACTGCAGAGCATTCTAGGATACAGCTAAGCTTGAAACTCAACAACTCAGCACTCTGGTCCTCAAGATGTTAAGATTAAATACATAAACATTTTTTACATATATATATATATATTTATAATTCTGGAATGTTTAAGTATGAAAAAGAGGAAACATGCAGTAAAGGCAGATTTAAATGTCTTCTTTTTATTCATGATTGAAAGCTTTTTTCAGTAAGCAAATATGTGGGCCTATTTGAGAACTTTCTACATTTTTGAAGAGAATGGGGAAAGATTGACAGAAGAATAACAAAATGAACATAACATTATCTATTCACGCAAACCCAAATTACTTTCTTACCAACCCAATACAGTACAAAGTCCGAGAACCGGAATGATCTAAAATCCGGACCTCAAAGTCACCATCAACTTTTTTTTAATGCTTTACGCATGTGCATTTGACTTTTTCCTTCTCCAAAGCATGTGGAGCGTCTCAATTCTTAATTTCACTTCGGCACTTAATAAAATATCTTGTTACTGAAGAAACAATTATTTTAGCATACATTTGTGAGATCGATATATTTGGCTCTGTAGCTGTGTATCTGCTTGGCATCTCAAACCAAAACATTCTACATAGAAAAATTCCTGGTTTTACACGTACTTATATTTTATATCCCTGACGCCAACCTGGCGAATCATTATTTATCATACTTTCCTTTCATCTCTGCATGCTTGTCAACACATGAAAACTTATGTAATGACTCATGTAGCGATGTCTAAACAAGTTTTTTTATGTTAGTAATTGAATAACAAAGGAGAATGGTAACCTTTAATGTTGACATTATGCTTCGGGATGATTACAGATTTAAGGTAAATGCACTAAAAATGTTGAAGAGGAAAAAGTTTAATAAAAATTTCATTCCATATGCTAAAAATAGATTTTGTTAATGATATTCATAAAGTAAAAGATTATGTATAGTGTTATTTGAATTGAGAATAACTGATTTGTTATTGTTATAAACTCAAAACCGGCATCAGAGCTCAATATGGTAGAATTGAGAGAAGATAAAATTTTTGGAATTTAGAGGAGCAACAAAATTAAGCCATGACAAAATTTTTAGAATTTAGGGGCGTCAAAAATTTAAAATTTAGAGCAGGGCTTGGTAGCAGAATTTAGGACCCGCAGAGATTGCACAGGCAGTAAGATATCTAGCGTCGGACCTCGAGTCGCCTAAGTATAATTAGGGATTTATTTATTCTGGACTCGCATAAGCCTTAAACAAGTGCAAGAAATAGACATTAGCAAATTAAATAACTACAATAATACAAATACAACTGAGGCTTAATTGTCTCAGTGCGCAATAGAAGCAAGGCAAAATTTAGCGGAAGAACTTCTGATTTTATCCAGCTTATTAATTTTTGCAGCAATTTTATGAAAATTAAAGTTTGAACTTTTGATTATGTAGAAAAGAGTTTCTAATTCTGAAGCTGCAGCAGGACCAATAAAAGCGAAAGCATGTTTTGATGTCCATTAAACAAAAAGTGGAATTGCTTCAAAAAACTGGATAAAGATATATCTGTCTCAAAATTACGAGAGGCATTGGAACGTCAGTGTTGAAGAAGAAATAATATGACATAAGGATATCAGAAAACAGAACTTTTTGAATTTTTTGTCGATTCCGATATCACACTCGCAATGAATAACAGAAAAATTATTCATTATGCTAAAAATGATGATCATGACAAAGTGATGACTGAATGGGTCAGATAGCATTGCAGCGGGGGAGTGCCATTGATGGGTCTAATGCTAATGGCTCAAGTCAATATATTTCTTGAAGCAATTAACTTTAAATTTGGGTGTACATATTCAACAAGTTGGTTAACCGAATTTAAAAATCGCCATGGTATATATGGCAACTAGAAATTTCAGGTGAAAAAGCTTCAGCTGATACTGAAGCTGTTATCTCCAGAAAAAAATTGCAATGCTGTTGAACTGGTCTTTACTGGCAATGTGTACTATGAATACTTAGTAACATCTACAGAAAAGACTCCAACTAGTGTCAAAGATTCCAAAGCGAGACTAACAATTCTAGCATGCGCAAATGATGCAGGGATGCACAAGCGCAAACTTTTCGTAATCTGAAAAAATACATGATCTTGAGCATTTAAAGGAGTACAGATTTTCCAAGTTATATATTGTGCAAATAAAAGAACACGGATGATATAAGCGTTAATGAATGATTGGTTCGAAAATCTTTTCGTACCCGAGGCTCAGCAACATATGAATTCGGTTGGTTTACCTGATGATGCAACTATTGTCCTGATTGTAGATTGAACTGTTCGACTCATACTTCTTAAAGTTTTAGTCAATGATAATGTATCTGTATTATTCTTTCCTCCAAATTGTATGTTCATCATTCAACCTATGGGTATTGGAATAGTGTGCGTGCTGAAATGCAAATATAAAGTGGAATTTTTAAAATCCATGTGAAATTTCTTGAATAATGGCAAGACTATTCAATAATGTTTGAAAAATTTTAGCATAAAATCTGCTGTATGTAGCATCGTAAGATCGTGGGAAGATGTATTTCCAGATGCTTTAAAAGTTTCCCCCCTCCAAAGGCCGGCACTTGCCTATAAGAGCTTTGGCCACTTCTAAGGCCAGAAGTGCTGGCCATTTTACTGTGGACCTCTTTCATGTATTTAAAATTCTTTATGAACAATCTAATTATCATCGTTATGTGCGTGTGTTACTTTTATGCTACGTATGAAGTAATCAATATTCCTCCAAATAAAATTGGGATAATTTGGTTTTAAAAAATATATATTGTTATGGATTTTGTACATAGCTAGACAGATGATTTTAGTGCAACTATATGTGATTTATCTTATAGATTTTTAAATTTTATATAGCTTTTTAGATTTAACTATCATATCCTTTTTAGATTTATCTTCATGGATCTATATATAATGTCCTCCTACAGAACTGTAGGGCTCACCAGCGGCCGAGTGATAAAATCGATGAACACTGACAGTTTACGACCTGTGTTCGAATCAGGCAAACGGGCTGGATGCATGAGTGTTTTTGCGGTTTTCCCAATGTGTAACGTCTATATGAGCAAGTTTGGTCTAGAAAGTTCTCCAAGAAGATATCCTCTCCTTTGGGCAGATAGCCCTATTGTGCTTTGTCGTAATCAACTAAACGAAACCAGCTGCAGAACTGCATTTACAATTTAGCTTTCTCATTAAGACATCTCTATCTGTGTGCATATAGATGGAATTTGTCATATCACAGTAACTCTAGAATCGTTCATATATGTTTTAGTAGCTTTTGAACGCAATTCAAAATCCATACTTGCAATGCTTTCATGATGAAGTGCCCGAAATCTGTAAGGAAGAATTTTTCTTGGGAATTTTTTGAATTTTCCTCGATTTTTAATTTAATATCCTCGGAGTCGAACGTTTCATGAGACATTTAAAAGTGGGTCTCATAATAAAGAAAACATATTATAGTTCATTACTATATGGCAGATTTTGTTACGAATGGAGAAAGTAACGTTAAAAGCATTTACTTTTCATTATCAATAACTTGATGTGAAAAAGAATTAAATTATTTACTTTGAAATCGAGAGTACTGAAACCTTTTCCAAACTCTTATTTATCAACAGGACATAGAAATGAAATATGGTATATTTATAAAGATGTATTGAGAGATTATGTTAAATAAAACGCCATATTTGTATGTGTATTAATATGTAACTGATTACTGAATAAATAAATAAGATACATTTTTATAACGCTTTGTTTATGAGATGTGCAAAAGCGCCTTTTTCAGGCTTTTAGGCCACGTGAGTTCATTTACGCGTTAGACGTCCGCATTTGTCTACAATTTGAGTCTACAAATCTGAAGTCGAGTAATTCTCCTCTGTGTCCACATATTTCTGCTTCTGAGGAATTTTGTATTGGTTCCAACCCCCTACTTGATAAGTATGCGAAAGTATGGAAACATTTGTGAGACTGAGCAATAATTACCTTTTTTCCATAGACTGAATTTATTTAAAGGATTCCCAAGGAGAAAAAGTAAGTGTTATTTGTTACTTTGTTTTCCTTATTTACTATACATATTTTATTGATTTGTTAAATGCCTCACATTTCGTCTTCATTCGTCTATAATCTTTAAATTCAGATTCGTAAGGCATCCCTCAATAAGATTTCTTATGAATGCATTAGATTTATGCATTGTTTACTATATCTATGACCTGAAGAATGCATTTCTCTAATCTTCTTTAACACAATTTAATTTAATTATCGCTCAGGAAGAATATGAAACTGATTAAAAAAAACTTGCATTTGAAGATGATTATTTAATATCCAAAACTTTCTTACAGAAGAATCTTATCTGTTTTGATAATGAAGAGTCTTATATCAAAGAAGAAGTTACATTAGCTTTCAAATTTTTAGTAAGTTAAGTGAATGGAAATCTTGTGATTGGATATTAAATTTTTATTTCTACCTGCCTTGAAATGAATTAAAATGTTTCCCTGCTGAATAAAAATATCGTTTTAAAACCTGGAGGAGAATCTTTTGTTTAACTCACTAATGTTGAAAAGTAGAAATAAGAAACAGAAATGTAATTTACTAAATAAATGGATTTTTAATCAATAGGAAAAGAAGATTATCTCAACTTTCATCGAAAATAAAAATTAATGAATTATTATTATCTTTTCATTAAAAGCGTTATGTGATTATAAAGTAACTGATGTTATTTATAATGCAACATCCGATTACTTTTCTTTCTTCAGATGTAAAATTTTAAGTTCTGAAAGAACACTAGAGTTGCAATTTTCAAGGGATTTCTGTGCAAAAAATGTTTATAACATATTTCAAAGTAAAAGATTTCATAAAAGTTCTGTTATTCATTTTTCTAGATGAATTATTTTATGTATTAAACATGCACATTTCATGTTAAAAATACAATTAGTAAGTAATTAAAATGGTAGTTTTTGAAGCATATTCAACCACGTAAATTTGAGCTCAATTATTGGCCCAAAGGGTATTGTTTTCGAAACGGCATTTTGCGTTGAATCACTTAAATGCGTTGTATCACTTTTCAAATTATTGCCGCCAAATATTATCGCTCTGTATTATATTTAAAGAAAATAAATAATGAAGAATAAGCATGAATATATGTAAATATATGTATGTTTCTCGCACTGTGAAAAACAACGATTCCTAGCCATCAAAGTTTGAATAACGTAGTCTGCCAACTGAATATGGGCACTTGGAAGCCCGAATCTTGAATTTCGAATAGGTTTTATTATCTGTTTCATATTTTTTTAAACTTTAACGAATTATTGATTAAAATCTCAACAATTTCAAAAGGAGCAGTGGCAACACTGCAGGGAATAAAACAGTTTTATCTACAGCGCGTGAGACTGCCTACAGAAATTCTGAAGTTATGATGTTTTTAAATATTTTAAGCCGAAGTGGCATTAACCCAAATGCTCTTAAAACGTACATGGGTCTGCAAATGAAAAATGTTCGTTTGGGCATAATACAAAATCTGAAATCTTTCAAATTTTATTTTTTAATTTTAATTTAGTTTATAGTTATTTTTTATTCTTATTTTATTTGTTTATTTATTTATTTTTAGTTTACTATTATGCGTGACAGGATTAACAATTTCTGGGTCTTAACATAATGGAAAATAGAGTTGTACAGGAAATTCAGATATTTCGGGAACCTGTTATTTTCACTAAAGTATTTTGTGGTTGGTGATCGTGTAAATTGTCTCATGTTGAGAAGGAAATGAGCATCAAGCTCTAAGAGGTTTCAACGGGCACCTATAAAATGGCAGAATATGTTCTGAGGGCGATCACAATGTGTTCTATTTGAAGGTTTTCGAATGCTTCGATGTATGCCGTAGTAAAATTCTTCATGCGGGAACGAATTCCTCAAAAAAATACAGCAAAAGCAAAATCATGATATGCATGTTTTTAATACAAGAAATATTATTCAATTAGCGTTTAAGCATTAGATACATTAGTTAGGCAGCGTTTAAGCATTAGATACATTAGTAAGATACATTAGTTAGGCAGGTTCAGCAAGGGCATTGTTTTTTTTTTTTTTTTTTTTTTTTTTGTAATCAAAATTGTGTGCAGAGGGTACGATACATATTTTGACAGCGACCTTCCAATTAGATGAATTAGAATAATCTCAATACATTATTAATCCTTTTTGCTTTCTTGTAGGATGTAAAAGAATTAATCGCGAAAAATTGCGGGTAACATACGCTTTTTTGCAAAAACGTCGAAGCACCAGGAAGGACTTTTGCGATCGTGACGAAATTTGGTATGTCAAATATCTTGACCAAGCATGCAAATGATCAAAGTTTCAAGGCAAATGAACAGGAATTACGACCATTGCGCGCATTTCCAGTGCGCAATCCGAAAAGTATTCTGTGGATATTCGTTAAAGTTAACAACAAGTAACAGAGCGAAAAATGTATCCTTTTTTTTTTGTTCCTGCCATTGTAATTCCGTAAAGAAGCAACTAAAGATGACATTACGACGATATCGAAGACCTTACAGACAACTAAATGACTTCGAACTTGGTCGCATTGTAGGGTTACGTGAAGCTAGGTGGTCATACCGAGCAATAGGCCGCCACCTGAGCGTACAAACAGTTGGCAGTGATTATTGCTACAAAGAAATTGCCGACGAAATGAAGGCTCTGGAAAGCCAAGGAGCACAAATGCGAGGCAGGATAGGATGATTTTTAGCCAGGCCGAACAGCCCCAACGGTATCATTGTCGACTATTCAACACACTGCAGCCACGCCTATACGTCCCGTGGTACCATCTCCACCATCTCACGGCACTTGTCTGAGGCGGGGTTACGCTCACAGAGGCCTTAAGACGTTTACCTTTGACCCCACAACATCGGCAGAGTCGTCTCTCTTGAATTACACTCTTGAATCGCTTCACTCTTGAATCAGATGACCACCGTTTTCGTGTCTGGAGAGGACGGGGCCAGCGGACCCAATCAGCCTTTGTTTTATAAAGGCATACAGCCTGTTACATATAAACTTCGAACTATCAGCGCCACCACATCTAAACTCCGAACTATCAGCACCATTACATCTAAACTCGAGAATAATCCTACTTAAGAACGTAGTTAGAACTCTGAACCCGAACACGAATGATTGTTAGAAGGTGAGTGCGTAATTATTATGCAACCTAATAATTGTATATAAAATGTATAAATCAATCTAAATATAATATATTTATTTATACAGAAGTGTCAGTCTTTACGCAAAAGCATGGAAATATTTAGATATTTCATCGAATAAGAATTTGGAATGGAACAAGCTCGGCTCCCGGGTGAAAGAAAAGGTAAGCGATTTCTTTTTACCTTTCAGAATTCTATTGAGAGATACAACATTTTTTTGGCATCCCTGCCGGGACGCCAGAGCTAAGAATAAGAATTTAAATTAAGACAATATAGATTTAGAATGCTATTATTGATTACTTTTTTGAATTTTTGAACTGTTAAGAACATGTCTGATGAGATTTTAAATAAGTTAAAAAAGAAGCGCGCAGCTCTCCGAACATTAGTAACCAACTCGCTTAAAGATTTGGAATCGCAGCTTTCGGAAATTGATCTGAAAATTCATGATTTGGAAATTAAAGAATAATTTCGTATCGCTTAAAAGTGTCGATACAGAATTCGAACCTCTTTTTAAAGTCGAAGAATTTGATGCTGAATTCCAAAAATCTGGAGAATATCGTTAAAAGGTCGTTAAATGCAGTTTCAGTACCTCCAAAAGAATCGACGAATTAAAACGCAAATCTACTGAAACGGTAGTACACTCATGTCCATAAATTAAGGATAATTCGGAGTCACGCGGAAATCGAACTGTAAAATAAATATATCACCTGTAAAATCACTACACATATCTTCAAAAATCATATGCAAATTTCAGGAAGTAACCAGATGACACCGATGGTACGTCACAATGACGAGAGTGTAAAAGAGTGATATATAAGGACACAGGCAAAGATGCTAAATTGTTCGCAGGCGCTTTATAAGCATTTCAGTGCAATAACCGAATAGTTATGACACAAAGGACGCATTTGGATGATTTTTTACGTGGTAGAATTATCGGCCGTCTGGAATGTGGGTGTACCCAACCGGAAGTATCAGACGAACTTGGAATTTCCCAGAGTGTCATCTCCAGGCTTTGGCAACGATTCCAAGATGATGGTAATGTGAGTAGACGTTACAGCACAGGTTACCCCAGAGTTACAATGCCGAATGAGGACCGGTATTTGGCAGTTACTGCCAAAAGAAACAGGCGGAGCACAGCCTCAGACCTGTCTTGTCAGCTCTCTTCAGCCACTGGTACGACAATTTCAAGGCAGACCGTGTACAGACGCTTAGGGCAGATTGGTCTATATGCTCGTAGACCTGTCAGATGCGTTCCACTTACTGCAACTCACTGTCGCCTGCGGTTAGCCTGGAGTAGAGAGCATGCATCGTGGACACCGCAACACGAGGCTTGTGTGATGTTTTCCGACGAGTCCAGGTTTAGCTTGCAGTCTGATTCTCGCCGGACTTTCATATGGAGAGCTCCAGGAACCAGTTACCACCAAGGAAACATCATTGAACGACACCGTTACGGTGGTGCAAGAGTGCTCGTTTGGGGTGGAATTATTCTGGGTTCCAGAACTGACCTGCATGTTCAAATTGGAATCATGGCAAACCAAATCTATCGGGACGTCATTATGGAACAACATGTACGTTTGTTTCGGGGCGCCATGGGCGCACAATTTGTGTTTATAGATGGAAACACCCGTCCTCACCGTGTAAACATCGTAAGCGAATGTCTTCAATCGGAGGAAATCACCCGTATGGACTGGCCAGCATTCTCATCGGACTTGAGTCCATTAGAGCACGTGTGGCACATGCTTGTCCGACGAGTTGCAGCCCATCAAACTCCTCCTACATGTCTACCGCAACTTCGGAGAGCATTGTTTTTTGAGTGTTGTAATATCCCCCAAGATCAGATTGATAATTTCATACTCAGCATGCCTAGGCGTTGTACGACTGTATTGCATCGTCTGGGAGACATACAATGTATTAACAATCATACCAACCATGTAACATTGGTTTTTTGTAATAGGTTTTTTTTTTTTTGTAATTTGCTCCAGGGAGAAAAAAATCGCTAATTTTTTAATAATATCAAACATATAGCATCTTTTTTGCTCTTTACCTTTGTTTAATAAATAAGCTTTACAAATAAGTCAAATTTGTTTGCTTCTAACTCCTTTGCCTGATTTTGCATTATCCTTAATTTATGGACATGAGTGTAAATAACCAGTTCAGTACTGACAGTCAGAGCGAACCAAAACATAACGAATCTGTTCGAATTAATTTACCTAAATTAACTTTAATTCTACGGAGATATAAACAACTGGCTAACCTTTTGGAACAGTTTCGAGTCTGCCATTCATAAAAATGATTCATTAGATAAAATAGACGAATTTAATTATTTGAAAGCTCATTTAGGTGGTTCTGCTTTAAATACAGTGGAAGGATTACCGATTACTGCTGCTAATTACGATTCCGCAATTGATCTTCTAAAAGAAAGATTTGCGAAAACAGATGTGCTCATTTACACTCACATAAATAACATTTTGAACACTAAACCGTTGAAAATCTCGAATGATGTTCGCGCCTTTAGAAAATTTTATGATAATATTTCTATCGAATTAAGATGTTTAGAAAATTTGGGTCAGTCTCTCGAGAATTTATCAAGTGTGTTATGTCCAATAATTCTGAAATCACTTCCCCAAGATATTTTGCTTGAGATTAACAGAATGAGTAATGGAAGTGCGTATTGTAATATTAAAAGCCTGTGCTTGATTATAGCTCAATGTTTAGATTCACGCGAAAGGGCGGAAGTCATAAATAAGAATTCAGAGCATTCGACAGCGAATAGTGGGCGCCGTCAGTCTGCGTATGCAGTCCAGAAAATAAACACTCGTCATTTCAGCGATGGAAAAGAGCAATAAATTAGAAACGAAAGCTTCTTCTGCTTCTGATTTAGTGTCCACGGGTATTAAAGAAAAATTGATTAAGGCATGTGCGTTTTTTGCGGAGATTTTTCCCATTCAAGCCATAAATGTCCTATTGCCCAGAAACTAACTAATGACGAAAAGGTTGAAATACTACGCAAAAATGGCACTTGTTTTAGGTGTTTACAAAATAAGGGTCACATCAGCAAATTTTGTGATTCTAACATTTTTTGCTCCCATTGTCACTCTAAGCATTCTACGATTATGTGCAACAGAATTAATTCCGAGAGTAAAAAGGGAACGATCAAAACTGTCCAGGAAGTTGAAAATAAAGTACTTTCGAATCATAGCAACCGTTCTGAAGTTTATTCACAAACTTTGGTCGTAGGGGTAGCTGGGAAAACCTTAAAGGGTTATTTAAGACTGCTAATAGATACCGGAAGTCAGAACACGTACATAAGTCAATATGCTGCTAAAACGTTCAAATTAGAAAAGATAGGAAATAAAAGAATTAAACATGAATTATTTGGGGGGCGTAGAAGTTTCGGAAGATCATAATCGTTATCAAATAGATTTAACTAGTTTAGATGGAAAGTACAGGTAAAGTAAAGAAGCAAAGATAACACAGTAAGGAAATAAACGACTCAAACTAGACCAGAAAAATTTGTTCGTCACTACCTAAGATCAAAGACGAAAAGTTGAATTAAAGTAATGGAAAAAAGGGGAATCCTTATCAACGACAATCATGAGAATGGAAATCTCTGTCTGTTTCAAGAAAATCCGGAAGAGATTCATATGCTGTTAGGAGCGGACACCGCAGCACAATTGTTCACTGAAAGAATTGAACATTTTGCGGGGGATTACGTAGCCTTTGAGACCAAGTTAGGCTGGACTTTAATGGGCAAGATTAAAGAGAATGCGAATACGTCGAGTTCCCTGTCCGTTCTTTCTTTATCCTTACATGTTTCCGATACAAATTTGTCCAATCTTTGGCGTTTAGACACCTTGGGGATTTCAAGTGAGGAAAACAAAACGAAAAGTGTCTTGGAAGAAGAAACCCGAAAACACATTTCTTAAAAAGTGTAAAACGAGATAGCTCAGGGAGATATGATATGAAGTAACCTTACCCTTTATTTTAGATAAATCCGTCTTATCCAGTAACCGTACTATGGCAGAAAGACACCTCGTCAAAACCGAAAGTAAACTAATTAACACACGCAGAAGAAAAGATTACGAAGAAATATTTTGATGAGGGGAAGCGAAGGACATTATTGAGGTAGTAACTGAGGAAAAGGAGGAAGGAAGGAGTGCACTACTTGTCACACAGACCTGTAATAAAAGAGTCTAGTGAAACTACAAAGATACGGCCTGTTTTCAATGCATCTGCACGTTCTAAGAATTCACCCTCTCTCAATGATTGTTTGAGTAAAGGACCAAATTTAATAGAAATTATTCCACGTATATTGAATCGTTTTCGAAAATATCGCATAGGAGTGTCATCATATCAGAAAAAACAGATTTTTCTAATAAGTCAGTTTAACATCACGTAGATTAGTAAGACTTCGAAAATTTCGTTCAAGAAGCAAGATTGATTTTGGCTTCAGGGCATTTCAATTTGAGATGTTGGCGATCAAATTTTCGCATTGACATGATCGATGAGATAGAGAGCAAGACGAAAGTTGTCCCAGTATTAGGATTAGTATGGGATTTAGAAAAGATAGTTTGAGTTGCAAGATCGAAGAAACATTTAACTTGAGGGAACCTATTACCAAAAGAAAAGTTTTGTCAATTACCCAGAAAATTTTTGATCCCATTGGCTTTACTGCACCGATAACTGTAATTCCTAAGCTAATTTTGCAAGAAAAAGAAACCTGGAACCAGAAGATTAAGTGGGATGAAGATCTTCCTCTTTCCCCTAAGTGAGCAGTTTGGGACTTGGTTGAACCAATTGCCTCTGCTATCTCAGATTGAAATTCCTCGTTGGTTAAATATTGATTACGAAAACGAAGATACCGTAGTGCTCCACGTTTTTTCGGATGCTAGTAAAAGAGCCTATGCCACATGTGCATTTTTAAGAGCTGAAACCATCGAAGGTGTAAAGGTTCAGTTAGTAAGCGCGAGAAGTCGAATAGCCCCTATTAAGGAACTTACGATTCCACGGCTTGAACTTCTTTCCTGTCTGATAGGTGCCAGGCTTGCCAAAACAATTCTATCAGATTTGAAACTTAAGAATTGTAGAACAGTGTTCTGGAGTGATTCTTCTACAGCTTTGGGGTGGATAAGAAGGGATCAAGCATGGGGTACGTTTGTTCACAATCGAGTACAAGAAATAAGATCGCTTACCAGAATATCTGACTGGAGGCATGTACCTGGAAGTTTAAACCCAGCGGATCTCCCATCGAGAGGATGTACTATTGAGCAATTACAGAAATCGGCATGGTGGGAGGGCCCATCGTGGCTTTACTTACCAGAAGACGAGTGGCCCCATGTAGAAGAAAAGCCTGATGAAGAACTTATAAACAAGGAAAAAAGGAAAACGATTCTGACTCTTCTAGATCATGGAGACAATTTGGACCGGTACTACAAATACTTCTCTTCATATAGAAAAACCGTGAGAATGATCGCTTGGATTTTCAGGTTTTATCACAATTTAAAGAACAAAGATAAAAACCTCACTCCTGATGTCTCAGTTGATGAATTGGAGAATGCTGAAAAGGCACTTTGTAGATTGGTACAGAAAGAATCATTTACAGGCATAAACGATCCCGCTATTCGTGCGCTGAGACCAATCGTAGACCAAAATGGAATTTTAAGAGCCAAAACGAACGTCCTACAGCGTCAAGATAATGAAAATTTCCGATATCCTATCATTTTACCTTCAAAACACCTTCTTGTTGAGAGAGAGACTAATTTACGAGAAACATCTAGAACTCCAGCATGCTGGTGTCAGCACTTTAATGACAAATCTTAGAGAAAACTTTTGGATATTAAAATCCAGAAAAAGTATTCGAAATATTATCAGAAAATGTGTAAGATGTAAAAGATTTGTTTCACAAAGAGTGGAAGTCGAGCCAGGATTTCCACCCGAAGATCGAGTCAGAGAAGGGGCGACTTTTGAAGTCGTCGGTGTAGATCTAGCGGGTCCTCTCTATCTCCGTGAGGGGTCTAAAGCGTGGATAGTCTTGTATACATGTGCCATTTATAGAGCCATTCACCTCGAACTAGTTACTTCTCTATCTACAGAAACTTTCATCCAATCTTTACGTAGATTCATTGCCAGAAGAGGTAGACCTTATGTGATATATTCCGACAACGGAACTAATTTTGTAGGGACTAACAGTGTTCTTAAGAAAGTTAATTGGAACGCCATATGTTCAGCTGCTTCTATCCAAAGGATACGATGGAAGTTCAACCCTCCGACCGCCGCCTGGTGGGGAGGTTGGTGGGAGAGGCTTGTGCGAATGGTGAAAGAAAATTTAAGAAGAGTGTTAGGTCGAACGTCCTTAAATTATGAAGAATTATATACTATATTATGTGACTGTGAACAAGTGATTAATTCGCGACCTATCACATACGTATCAGAGGATAATCAAGATCCATCACCACTGACCCCTATGATGTTTCCTGCAAGAATTGCCGTCATCAGGAGTTCCTGATATGGACTACGTAGATTCCAAAGAACTAAACCGTCGAGCCAAATACCGACAGAGAATAAGACATGATCTACGAAACAGATTTCGTAATGAATATCTTGGTCAGTTGAGACAACAGGCAATAAAGAAGGGAAAATTTCAACAGTTGCAAGTAGGCGATGTCGTTCTGTTGGAAGACAGCCAGAGACGACGCATACATTGGCCTTTAGCCAAGATAGTCGAGCTTTTCCCCAGTAAAGACGGAATAGTTAGACTAGCGAGGGTCAAGACAAGAAATGGAATTCTGCTTCGTCCAGTGCCCCGGCTTTTCCCGTTGGAGATCTCTACTTCCGAATCCGTTGGCCCTCCGTTCCCCGACAGAGCACCTCGAGATAGAAACGACCATGCAACTGGTCAGGCTGATCAGGCTGCTAGTATTCCAGAACCTGCCTCAAGTCCTCGAGTGATGACCAGAGCTGGACGAGTTGTTCGGCCTCCTCATCGACTGGACCTGTGTGTATTGAGTTCCTCCGCATCGTCGGATCTCAATGGTGGGAGGTGATGTTACATCTAAACTCCGAACTATCAGCGCCTCCACATCTAAACTCCGAACTATCAGCACCATTACATCTAAACTCGAGAATAATCCTACGGAAGAACGTAGTTAGAACTCTGAATCCGAACTCGATTGACTGTTAGCTGGAGAGCGCGTAATTTTCATGTAATCTAATAATTGTATATAACTGTATCTAAATATAATATCTTTATTTATACAGAAGTGTCAGTTTTTATGCAAAAGCTTGGAATTATTTAGATATTTCATCGAATAAGAATTAGAATGGAACAAGCTCGGCTCCCGGGTGAAAGAAAAGGTAAGAGATTTCTTTTTACCTTTTAGAATTCTATAGAGAGATACAACAATCGTCGACCAGCTAAGCTCTACGTAGACGAACGTTGCCGTCCATTAACAGAACCGAGGATCAAATGCGCTCTTGAAAAGTCGAACATAGGGCTCTAAGATTTCTTCTCTGTATTTATAGTAGTTAGGAAGCCTTTATCAAATACACGCAGGGGTGTACGGTCGTCCAACGTAATTTCTGTCCAAACCATCATACCTCCACCACCGTAACGATCGTTCTTCCTGATAAGGGAGGTATGGTACCATGTTCCAGGTTTTCTGCAAATACAGGTAAGCCGAGAGTCAATATCCAGGCAGAATCTCCACTCATCTGTAAGAAACATGGTACTCTACTGAAGTCTCGTCCCAGGCGCATGTTGCCTGCATCATGGTAAACGCACTCTTATGTGTGCTATAGTTAGCAGGACGGAAACAGCGGATCTGCGGATCTTTTGGCTTCTGGCTAAAGAAATTTCGCACTGTGCCTGTGCTCCACCAATCTCTTTTCAGATGCAGATCACATGACCGGGTCCCACCACCTACTCTATACTCTGGCTCCACCAGCTTCGACTTCATACTCACAGCGACTTCTACGTGGCTAGCGATGTAACTGACTCTTCGATTGTTGTTAATGAAAGAATTGTCGCGCTCACACAGGCTCGCAAGCTGATAGAATTACGGACTAATGAATTGTGGACTGAATTCTGATTTCTTCCTCATATTACACATGCCATAACTGCTGTGATAGCTATCAATTTTCATTACGATTATTTCCTGCAAACGAAGTGGCTTTGTCACCACATAATCCGGAGTCTTCGAACAATGGTAGACCGTGAAACTCGGATTCCAATGGCAGCATACAGCTCACGTGAGAACTGTGAAGCTGTAGCAGTCTTGTATCGTCACGCTGAAAGTGCCAAATAAAAACCCTCAATAGTTGGGCTGGATTTTGGTTGACCTTGTTCAGGACTTGTCGATATGAATACAGCGTCTTCAAGCTATTTTTACAAATTGCCAGACGACGTAGAGCAGTACATTGAGCTCTGTAGCCACCTGCGCTTATAATTGGCCTGCCTCCAATCTACCGACAATTCTCCATGTCATTCCGTTATCCATACATTCGAAGCTATTCATTTTATCTGATACCTTGTAAAATTTACCCAACTCCCGCGAAAAACACGGCGGCTATCGTGATGGAGTACGAGCACATAAAAAGCTGTCGAAAACCCATCCTATGTATGTTTATAAATCCCAGCTCCGCAGACACGCGAGTGTACGCTTACGTATTCGACTCTAATTTGTATAAATGTTCGGCTGCATTATTAGTACATTTGCTTCAATACATTCCATAAAGATAGACGCAATTTTCATATTCTATTAATTTTTCGCATGAATGTATGTATGCGTGTATGTGTGGATTTAACGCTGAAAATAACGCCCTGTCCCTTCGAAATTTTTCCGAAATAATTTAAATTAAAATATTGGCTCCCAAACATTTTGATCGCGAGGCTTTTTTTTACAATTAGTTTCTATTTTAAGCGATTTCCTTGGCTTAAACTATGTCTTACAAGTTATTGATATTGAGGAGAAATTTTATTATTTGATATTGAGGAGGGTATTTAAACTACGAGAATGAAAAGTTAAACAACTATCTAAACACTTCTAGATTATCCATGAAATGAAATTACATTTTAAAAACTTTTAAATTTACCATATAGCTTACCTTCTGCATAGAATGTAGTCAAATCGTGGCAGTACATAATCTTTCTTCTAAAGATCAATAAATTAAGCCATTTCCATTATAAAACACATTTTAAATTACTGGTGACAGCAACACTAAGATCCTTACAGTAAGCTCAGTTCCACCAGTTTAATCAGTATATTCAATGAAAAATACATATACTTACATTATTTGTTATTCGAAATTTTTATTAACCATTATAAAAGATAATTCTGATTAAATTTTCTAAAGATATGCAACGGAGTGCATTGTAGTACAACAACCGGCCTATATTACGACCTATCATACAATCAAGGAAATTATTTATTTCACAGTTGTTTTCATTTTTTGTCAATAGATTGCGCCAGTAACTTGACTTCCATCCTCTCATTCTTATCGCTTGAGTATTGGCTTCTCTTTCGTCATTTGCTCTTCTGAAGCTGAAGAAGAAGTTCTACATTTAACCTTCGAAACTAATCCTGAAAATTAATGAATATTACGCTGATTTTCGAATTCATAGGCTTTTTATGTGTGGGATTTCGCCATATGCTTTTTTAGCTGGCCACCGCTTTTCATGTACTGCAATCGAATGTCATAACACTAGTTGCAATACGGGCAGAGTTGGCATTGTTGCAGGTAATGTGAATGAAATAGTAACGATTAAAAGAATATCAGCAGAAAATTTTATTTGTATCAACTTAAGCATTTATTTTTTACAACAGATAGGTTGCTCACTGAAACTCAATAATAAGTTCCATTAGGAGATAATATAACTAATTAATGCAAGTAATGTAGATAGTTTACATCATTTTAAAAATGGGTAAAACAGCATTCATAATAAACAAAATAAATGCTTTCAAAAGCATTATTTTTTTTATATGTTTCTCTAAAGCATTTACTCTAATTGAGAAAATAAAATATTTTATAAAAATAACTTTAATTTGCTTAGATTTAAGAAAGTGCTCTTTTTTTAATCAAATGTTAGAAACGTACTTGCGAAATCGATTAACGAAGAGAGAATATTGTCCGAATTTAAGCTACAATAGCTCCATTAATATAATTGGTTGAAAATTTGACTAAAGTAGACTCATCTAAGGATTAGAATAAAGTGCTAAAGAAATATTATCTCATATCATTAATCGAAACAGTAATTTGCCGTTCATTAACGTAATGATAAGAGACTTTCTACTGGGTTATTTAGAAGTAACTCTTTATGAGCACTATGTCCGAAAAAAATTACATTTATTAGAGTATCTGGTAAGTGGTATTGTTTCGAACATTTTGTATCGTACATTTAATGAAACACAGTCACAGCTTCTCATGGCGAACCTCGTTCATAGATGACCACTTACGAAATAGGCCACCAGTTCCCACAACATAAACATGTAAGATCTAGTCTTCATTGCTAACAACGACACTGCAACTAGACCTGCGTAAACATTTGGTTTAACGACTTATCGCTCAAACTAGAAGAGGCGTAAAACAGTGGAAGGGTTTACAAAACCCATTTTGTTAAACACAGTTATTTACAGATGGCACTGGCTTACGTGCTTACACTGTCACCACCCACTTGTGATGAGGAGCTTAAAGATAATATACCAAACTAAATGTAAAACTAACTAGTAGTTTAAGATTACACAATTTAATTTAACCAGCAGGTTGACTCATAAACCTACGCCGGCGAGATAATATTTCGGCAGCAAGAATGCGAAGCCGAGATCTAAAATTCAAACAGCTGTAGAATTAACAACGTGCGCATTCGATAGCGAAAACACTCTCTGACTAAGCTTTACGCTACTTCAGTTTAAATACATTCTCATTCATTCTAACTCATTTACCGCCTGACGAGGAAACACGAGGGAAACCAGAAAGGACAGAAAAGGCTAACATATTAAAATAACTATGAGTAAAAATAATGGGAACTCTACAAATAAGTCATTAACCGTTACTGAGCACAACTTCTCCAAGCAGGTCACCTCTACAGAGAAATAGCTTAGACATTTTTCATTACATTTATACGCACAAGATTCTACTTCTTTCTTCACTGGTTAGCATTGTAACGTCTGAACACCCGTGTTGGATGAAGGGAAAAGAGCAGCTGTCTTTTAAATATTTATTTTAAAACGTAATAAGAATTTCTGGAATAATCATAAATAAAATAATCAAAACATCACAACCATAACACAAAACAATGGCCGCTGGATGCGGCTTACGAAGCTGGTGCGTCTTCTCTCAAGTCTGTCACTGCATAAGATCCCACAAAAGGCCCTTTCTTTCCCTTTTTGTTAAACATCTTAGGAAAAGCTTTAAGAGGAGGCCATTTACCACATCCTTTGCGTCCGGAAACCGCACCAGGGCATTTCCGTAACATCTTTCCTCAAGGTTCTAACTGACAATTAGTCTCTG